TTTGCCCATCTGAAGTTGGTTTGCCCCTCTGGAGTTCAGCGTCAGTCGGTAGTCTGTGTACAATGCAACATGCCTTTTACTTCTCAAGAAGCCTTGCTGATGAAGTGCTGCATTGTTTAGAAGGACAGATTTGTGATTGCTCTCCAATTACTGCCTAGAGATCACAAGAGGAGGGAAAAACAAATACATCCTGGTTGAAGTAAATTTTCTTTTGAGTCCAATACCATCTATGATAGCTTATTCATCAGCCTTAATAGATGACAGGAACATTACAAATATTAGATCTTTGTAGCAGAGTAACTTCCACAAATTGCAGGGCTGCTTTGTTGTTTGAAGAGAAGATTTTTTTGACACAGAATACAGAAGTTACGCAGATCTCAGCTTGAAGAAGTGTGTGTTTTTTCTATTCTTTTTCTTTTTTTTTTTTTTCCAAAGACTAGGTTTGTCCTAGCCTTGCAAAAGTTTTTAATTTCTGAGTAATTGCTGTGTATTAAACTGCCTTTTGCAAATAAGGATTGTCTAAGGATCCTTGCCGTATTTGCACTGTTAGTTTAAGCATGAACTTCTATGATGTAAAGAACAGCAAGGCTAAATACAGGTGAATTTCTCTGTTTATCTGCCTCATTGATAAACCCGTTGCAAGAGGAGTTTAGATTTGGTGTGGTAGAATATGCAGCCCCCTTTTTATCCTGCAGATAACGATGGTAAGTATCAATTTAATTTCTGCTTCAAGAAGAAATTTGCTTAAATATCTCCTAGATAATGTTTTCACTATAACTTCTGTCTTTGTGAGCAATATGACCTCTAAAGCAGAGGCCTTCACAAGTGATGAAGTATCTTTTTTTTTTAATCCTGTGAGAATCTGTCCTGGCAGAGATACTAATTTACTTTCCACTAGCGTTGTGGGGAATATGTATCTCGTGTGCCTTTAGATTCATAATAGAGTGCTTTCTGTAGGGTGTTGGAATATATTTCTTTTTTTCAGGGAGGTGCTAGCTGCATTTTTTGAAGAATATTGCTTGCCTTACATATTTGTAAGACTTGATATACCATATGGTAAAACGTCAGAAAAGATAAATACTCTCCCGCAGCACAAATCTAGAAACATCATTTTTGAAGCTTGTTTAGAAGTGGGCAAAAGTTTGCTGTTCATGTTGGAAGGTATGTGCTAAGTGTTGGAACAATGGTAAAAAATACTGTAGTCAATCAGCCGTTACTTACTGTATTGGTTCAGCTGGTGGTACTGAAACCTTCTGCTGCAGAAACTGCAGAGCCTGACTTGTCTGTTAAGTCTAGAGTTAAGTTGCTTAGGGTTTATAAATGCAAAAGCATAGATCTGAAGGTGCTGAAGTTCATTCTTTGCCACTTACACTAGAGAGCAACCATGATGTTATGGGCAATGCCTTAGAGCAAAGGTTTGAGAGAGCTCTGAGTGACTTCCTTAGCAAAGCTGCTGCTCCTCTGGGAGTTCACACTTGGTTATTAGCACCTGGGGTGGGGTGGGAGGGCTGCAACTCTGTACCACGTAATCTGCACTTAAGGTGTACAGTAAAACAAATGGTGGTGTGAAAATGAGTAATGCCAGCATGTTCTTTAGGGGGTACATGTGGGCTTTAGACTAAATGATGCCCTGGCTGCTACAAGCAAGGAAGTGTTTTACTAAATTGCAAAAGCAATCTTGTTATGACTGCAGTAAACTTTCAAAAGGATATAAAAGCAAAGGAGAAGTTATTAGTTAATCCTCTAATTCCACTGTAGGTCTGTCAGTAGCTAGTTTAAGCCATTTACATGACCCATAAGGGACTTCAGATCAGTTGCTCTGATAAGGGGTTCTAGTTTTCTAGCCTTTTGAAGAACTCAGTTCCAGTAATCCTCCCTTTCTTTCCCCTTCCCTCCCTGAAGGTCATCACATTCCAGTTTACTAGATGAAAGGATGTTACCAGAATCGTTGCACAACTCCTATGTGAGAACAATTGGCAGGGTGGTGTCTGAGCCAGCCTTTTTTGCGTGGTCTTAGAAATGAAGCTGCATACTGCCAAGAAAGCCAGCTGCTGGAGGATTGCTGCAGTCCTGGCAGTCTTTCTAGGCCTAGAGTTGAGCAGATGTGGACAGAGATCTGAGCTTCAGAAGATATTTGGGCTGGGAAGGGATTTTGAGGTCCTGTCTGAATGCTCAAGCACTGTTTGGGTACAATTGGGATTAGCAGTGGTACCTTGTCACTGCTCTCTCCAGACACTGCTTGGTTTGTTTTTGTAGTTCCAGAAAACATGGTAAAACTGTAGTAGCAGCGTGTACCAGCGGGGATGAACCAGCAGATGTTAACAGAGATGAACACTGGGTGTATGCTCGTTGCGTGATATTGCAAACCCTATTCAATTAGCATGTGGCATCACTCTTCAAGTGCAGGATTTTATTGTGGAATAGGAGACTAAATATGTTGAAGTGCAGAGGAGAGTAGTTGCACAGGATGCAGGGAGAAAGGAAAGCGGAGGACAAGGAACTTGCGCCTAGTTCTTGTTCAATTCTTGGTGCTTTGCTTCACCACAACTACAGTTCTCTTCTGAAGATGGTAATGACACGCGGTGGGTAGTGGGAAGACACCACTGAATATGTCTTCAAGTTCTTGATAATATTGTTGTAGCCATGGTGACAAGTTTTTAGAGAGGTAATAATTTCATTACATTGACTGGTGGTTCTGGAGTGAAGTAAAAGCTGACAGGCTTTTGAGACCCACAAACCTGAAGAAGGCAAGTGTCTTCCAAATCTGTCTGTTGCTGTAGTACATGATTATGTCTCTGTAGAGAACTGAAAGACTTGCGCAACAAACTTGTTTACATCTCAAAGCACTCTTCAATCTATAAGGACAAATCTAGAATCATAAACTTTAAGGAAGACTGTGAAGCGGTTGCCAACTACAAATTAAGGTTACTCTTTAATCTTTAGCCTGGAAGGCTCCCAGCAACTTGGAAAAGGGTGTGAATGTGTAGAGGGGAAAACCATAAAGGTGCTGAAGTTCATTCTGCTTGAAGCACTGTAAACTCCGTGCTTTATGGGAGCATGGAGGGAATGTATGTATGGGAGAAGCTGCGTTCCTGGTTGTGCAAGGGGGTCTGATCTCAGCAGTTGTATCTAGCTGCGTATGTTACCTTACTACTTTCATAGTGGTGAAATCTTATGTGTATTTCGGTGGGGTTGTACATCACTGACTTAAATGTTGTCAGAAGTTGTGTATTTCCGTATAGGAGACCCATGGATGCAGCTTTCTCGGAAGGTCCCATAGTAGCTTTTTTCTGCCTGTGGATTGCTCTGGACACTTGTGTTTTTATTGATTGTCTCAGTGTTAGAAATAGAGGTAGTGGCTTCTGGTCCACTATCTGTGCTATCTTGCAGTATGCCTGTTTCTTTCTATTTTCTTGGTGTTTTTATTTGTTTCAACTTCACTTTGCAGTCTGGGGTATTTAAAATAGCCATATAATTGGTCTGAAAACGTAAGAGAAAGCTGGGTCTCCACGAGAGGATCTGATCTGATATGAGCCAATTAAAAATTAGTTTCATAAGCACAAGATGCCTTTGTGTTTTACTGAAATCTTACTGCTTTTGGGGGAAGAAGAATTAAGCTTCTGCAGAAACTCTGAGGGAGAAAAGATTAAGAAATAATGCTGTTAATGGAGGAGAAGAGATGTCTTAAATGGCAGTGAATGCTGTTAAAAATACCAGCTCCTACCCACTAATGATAGGCCAAGTTTTGCAAACTTAACAGGTTTCGTCCTTTTCTCTCATGCTTTGCCTTTGATGGGATTTTGCCTTTGATTGCATGGTTGTGGGTGGAATGTCTGATACTCTTGGCTACAAGAACTGTATAGGTTCTTAAAATTACATTTGTTCTGGCCTGGAGCACAGCTATGTGGGTGTTGGATGTTTCTTTGAGACCCAGAGTTCCTTTTGGTTAATCACCTTATGTTATCTGCAACTTTAAAGGAAGACAATTAATATCTAGCAGCTGATTTCACTGTGTGGCATAGATCCACACTGCTGTAGATTTAATACTTCAGTATATGAATCTCCCATCTGGTGAAGGCGGTGTTTGGATAATCAATTATCCAGAAACATACTCTGTGGACCAGAGACAAGTAATTATAAATGTTACTTATTATAGTCTCATCAGTGGCATAGTGCTTAATCTCTTAAGCACATCAGAGTATTAGTTGATCAGAAATGCATTATCATCTGCTTAGGTGACATGATGTGGATCTTTTTCTGGGCAATACAGAAACGTAGTACACTATGCTAGGCTAGAATTTAACTGATAAACAAGTTGTCCTATGCTTATCTAAATAGCTGGAATATTTAAATTATACTAACTGTCAAACGTCCTCTGTACTAATTTTGACATGTGTGTAAAAAAAAACAAATCCATAGAGAATTGCCTGGATACATGATAAATTGGCTGCAGCTGCTTATGCAAAGTGAGCTGAATTATCAGAAGTAATCGGTTTAATTTAAACCCAGCTTATTTTAACTGAAAAAGGCTAAAGAGCAGCCACATGATCAGTTCAGCAAGCAGATCTAAGGAGGAAAGTAGTAATTTCCATTAATAGACAACTAGGGTAAAACACAGTGAACAGCCCCAGATGATTCAATAGGTTTCCGTTAATTGTTCAAAGTGTAAGCAAACTCTTCTTCAAGATGGAGTTACCAGTGAATTTTTAACAAATTTTTAATCTCATTTAAAAGCAGGTAACTGCCTCATTTTATCAGGTACCTCTTGATTAAAAACCTGATATGGAAAAACTAGGGAGTTCTTGGACTTGATGGTTGTGCCTGTCTTAGTCCGTTCAGCTACAGCCTTGTTCGAAAATGAACGATTAATCTTGATTACATGAGGGAGAAGAAACTGCAAATTCTAGTTTGCATTTAATTTGTACTTTAGCTAGAGGTGTTGCAGTTAGCATGTGACTTACGACTATTGTGTTCATGGTCTTATCTTAATTTCTTTTCTAGGGAAAGCGCGTGTGCAGCAGCTAGCAGAGAACACAAGATATTTCAGGAGACGACTGAAAGAGATGGGCTTTATCATCTATGGAAATGAAGATTCCCCTGTTGTGCCTCTAATGCTGTACATGCCAGCAAAAATTGGGTAGGTTTAGTAGGGTAACTTCTCATCCATCTTCTTTAAAGCTAGGATGGTGCAAGAATATTAAGACTTTTCTAAATGTAAGAAAAGACTGGTTTGATTTTTGCTTTTTTGATCATTGGGAGGTGATTCTGCCCCTCTGCTCTACTCTTGTGAGACCCCACCTGGAGTACTGCATCTAGCTCTGGGGTCCCCAGTACAAGAAAGACATGGATCTGATGGAGCAAGTTTAGAGGAGGGCCACAAAGGTGATCAGAGGGCTGGAGCACCTCTCCTATGAGGACAGGCTGAGAGAGTTGGGCTTGTTTAGCCTGGAGAAAAGAAGGCTCTGGGGACACCTTATTGCAGCCCTCTAGTACCTGAAAGGGGCCTACAAGAAAGCTGGAGAGGGACTGTTCACAAAGGCATGGAGTGATAGGAAGAGGGGTACTGGCCTTAAGCTGAAGGAAGGTAGATTTAGATTAGATATTAGGGAGACATTCTTCACTGTGAGGGTTGCAAGTCACTAGAACAGGTTGCCCAGAGAAGCTGTGGATGTCCCCTCCCTGGAAGTGTTCAAGGCCAGGTTGGATGGGGCTTTGGGCAACGTGGTCTAGCGGAGGGTGTCCCTGCCCATGGCAGGGGGATCAGAACTAGGTGATCTTTAAGGTCCCTTCCAACTCAAGCCATTCTACGAGTCTGTTGTCATTACTGAGTCTTATAAAACATGGAAACTTCCTATAAGTGATCTTGAGAAAATCAAGGCTTGTAGCTTGGAGCAGCAAGAAAGCCCATCAGGGAAGCAATTTTACCACTACATGCCATGTTTCAAAATTTGGGGTTTTTTTGATTTTGTTTTGTTTTTTCATTTTATTTATATGTAAACTGTATATATGTGCTAAAGAGAAGCTGAAATTGAATGGAAATTAACACTAAGAGTCACTGGAGGAATCCTTCAACCAGCTTCCGGATCAGAAGCAGCCAACATTTCCACAGATGAACTCTGAAAATTAAAAAAAAGGAAAAGCAGGAAGTGTGGGACATGATGGGACACAACAACCTGTATTTGATGAATCCCAAGTTTTTTAAGAAGTCTGGTTTTAATAGCTGAAGTGTTGTTATTGTAAATACTAATAGAAATCTCACATATAGCTTTATAAATGCTTATAGATTTGTGGGCTACTGTGTGGATAATTAAGGTGAAAATTCTGCAACAGGATATAATGTATATATTAAAAAGTTTTGCAACATAAGAGCTTGATTTCAAGGACAACTTGGCTTTGATAGCTTCTTCTCAGTGTCCGTATATAATGCAGTGCTCAACAAACACTTTCAAATTTGGAAAGCATAGCTTCATTTTAAGCCATACCAAACATCTCTAGTGCTCTTCTAGCTCAGTTAGGCTTCAGTCTGTCTAAACACTGTGGTTCTGTGAGGGAACAAACATCTTCTAGCACTCAGCATGAAGCTAGATACAGTCTTCCTCCACCCTTCTCAGTAAAACCAAATGTAAAAAGCCTGTAGCCTTTATGGGTGCTGTAGAGTCTGCAGTGTGCGTCATCCAGCACACAGAGCCATGCTGTTTCTGCTGCCTAGCTGCTCTACCAGTCAGTACAATCTTTCCCCTGGAAATGTTTATTAGCTGAGCAACTGGGCCAGTAACTTACTTAAATATGAGCAAGAACACAGAGCTCTGATGAGAGTTGGCCCTTAGGTTCTGCATCCGGCCTACTTCATCCTTTCTTTGTCTCTTGTAGTCTGTTTTTAAAATAGTTTGAGAGTACTAAATGGATACAAAATGAAATGTATCAGGTTGCACCTATTTATAAGGAAGATAGTTGTAGCGGAAGTGTAAGGCAGAAAACTTAAAAACTTAGTAGAAGGGTGTTATTTTTATATGTCCTTATAAGCCTCTTAAGTTCATTGCTGCTACTTAAGACAAGGTCAGTTCAAAAAGGATTAACCATTTCCTGTGGCTTGTAGAAACACTCGCAATTGCACTGCCATTATGGAAAGGATCTAGATCTTTGGACCTCTTATCACATAAGTGGCAGCTGCTAATTTCCTTAATCCCCTTAATAATTTGTTTTGTTGAAGATGCTCTGACAGTTATATGAGGTTTTTGCACCTTCCTTAGAAATATTTGGTATCAGATTAGATGATCTCAGTTTACTGTGGCAATTCAACAGTTCCCATGGTAGGCACTTAAAAAAGTGGTACATCTGTGACATCATAATATACTTTAAATTGGTGAAGAACAAACCATCTTGAAACTGCAGAAGCATCTGCTTTGGGGGATTGCAGCATGGGGGGATTCCTTGGATAGTCCACCTTCTGAGCCAAAATACATGTTTCCTGTCAGAAAGATTTCCAAGCTTAGGTTACAAATCCATTTAGAAGCAGCTTGCTAAAAGGCTAGCCTCTACCACATAGAATCTTTCAGCTTTGTTGGAACTTAATACAGTGAAACCTTTTAAGGAGGACCGCCTTGGGATTGAGGTTAAAAAAAGCTTTTGTGAACAGGCATTCTGCCTTTAAAAGAAAGCACTGGAAGCTCCAAATTGTGGTCTTACAGACTTGCTTCAACAAAGGCCTGTATGGGTTAGCATACAGAGACCTTCTTGCTGCTGCTTGGCCTCCACTGGTACCATTCTGATGATCTTTGATGTTCTTTCTGGCAGTGCGTTTGGGCGTGAGATGCTGAAGCGGAACATTGGTGTTGTGGTTGTGGGCTTCCCTGCCACCCCCATCATCGAGTCCAGAGCCAGATTCTGTTTGTCTGCAGCTCATACCAAAGAGATGCTTGATACAGTAAGTGTCTCATCTTGTCTTCCTTTTGCTCCTGCCTTCTATAAACAGATATAACAATCGTCTATGTTTTGTAGACTGGTTCAATATTTGGTACACAAATTAGTTGAACCTAGTGTTCAAAGCCTTGTGTAGTAGAGCTAGCAATGACTCCCATCTCTTTCCTTGCTTCAACAATGCAGAATGGCTGCCTACAGTAAATCTCAGGGGCTTTCTTTTTCTCTTTTAAATGATGCAAGAGAGACAGTCTCATTCCTTTGAGAAAATGCTTTTTCCCCTCTTAAGAGGACCTACCTTCCACTGAATCATTTAAAAGGAAAAAATTCTGCTGCTTCTGATCCTAGATGCAGAAGGTAAGAAAAAAAAGCCTGAGAACCTCCAATCTATATTCTTCTCAAAAGCAAGTGTAAACCTCAGCACATGATTACTAGTGAGAATTTTTATTCCAAAGGTTACTATTCCAGTTCTTGTTTATAGCTTCAGGGCACTGTATCTTAAATGATCCTGTACTAACTGAGTCTGTGCCACGTACAGTGCCTTACTTGCTCCTGCCTGCACTAACCATGTTCCAGTGGGAATGGAGGTCCCCTCAAAGGAGGCCTGCATCAGAGTTAGGAGGTGCTGCCTTAGAAATTAAGGATGGAAGTTACTCTCTGACTAATATTGTTGAAAGGGGATTGTATGACTAAGCCTGACTATCCTTACTATGTTTTGGTGTGGTAATTACACTCATTTTTGAGTCTCCTGAATATCTTCTTTGATGGATGTGTACATGTCTTAGGCTCTGTCAAAGTTCTTCATTGTATTTTTTTTTCCCCACTTTGCCATTTTGTGACTCAGAACCTAAGCTAGGTTGAGTCACAACCCTGGACTTCAAGAGAGTAGACTCTGTCCTGTTCAGAGACCTACTTGAAAGAATCCCATAGGATATGGTCCTGAAGAGGGAGGCTGGTTGATGGTTTGTTTTTTTTTTTTAGCCTCACCTAAGCCTCATCTTCATCCTGGGGAAGGTGGTGGGGAAAAACATCCTTGAAACCATTTTCAAACGTTTTGTGGACAAGAAGGTGATTGGGAGAAGTCATCATGGAGTTATGAAGGGGAAATCATGCCCAGTGTCCAGACATGAACAGTAAATGGGACATAGAAACAGATATTTACTAATGTCTTGTCAAAAAAAAAAACTAAAAAAGATTCAAAGTTTTCACACATTACTGCCACAGAACTTTCAAATTAACAGCTGAAAATGGCTCTTTTTTTTTTTTTTTTTTTTTAGTTTTGTTAGGAAATATAGTAAGACAGTGGTGTGTGCAGTTTGGTAATGTATATTTAGTGTCATTCTGTATCAGTTAAATAACCTGCCATGTATCTTTGGTGCTGTACTTGCTGCTTCTGAGTTGTTTCTGCCTTGTAAGACTTGAGAGATTCTGCCCTGACACTCCAACAGCAGACTGCTTAAGGACTTCCTTCCCAGCTACTTGTCCTGCTACTCTTCCCGTAATTATCCCAATTCATAGAATCATAGAATGGTTTGGGTTGGAAGGGACCTCAAAGATCATGTAGTTCCAACCCCCCTGCTGTGGGCAGGGACACCTTCACTAGACCACATTGCCCAAAGCCCCACCCAACCTGGCCTTGAACACTTCCAGGGATGGGGCCTCCACAGCCTCTCTGGGCAACCTGTTCCAGTGTCTCACCACTCTAACAGTGAAGAATTTATTTCTAACATCTAATCTAAATCAACCCTCCTTCAGCTTAAACCTATTACCCCTTGTCCTGTCACTACACTCCCTGATAAACAGTCCCTCACCATCTCTTTCCTGTAGGCAATTCAGTTGTTTCTGTTCCAAATTAAAAATTCTTAACAGTATGTTTGGAGAAGGCTTGTTCCTTCCCTTCCTTTCCCCCCTATGAAATGAATAGTATCACAGACATGGCTGAGAGCATGGTAATAGAGCTGAGTGCGTTGACACAAATGAGGGAGCAGGAACTTCTGGCTAGGTGGGCATGGTGGGATTAATGGGAAGAAGGTGGGAGGAAGAAAAGAAAGAAAACTAAAGGCTCTGAAATCATATTACTGCAAACTGAGCTACAACTGAAACCATGCAAACTTGACATGCTGGCAGTACCTCAGCAATCATGCAATCTTGCTGTTGGTTAGATTCTTCATCTCCTCTCTTAGTGACTAGCTGGAGTCTTTACCATAACAAGCTGCTTTTGCAGGGTCTATATAAGTACTATACTTGCTCTTCCAAAACCAATCTGTAACTTTTATTACTCTGTTTTAAAAAGCTTTCTTCCTGTCAATTCACTTACAAGTCTTTCTGCTTTCCAGAAAATGTTTCAAGTTTTGTGCATTTAACTCTACAGACTCATTTCTAGAGTACCTTTGTAGGTGCTAAATGCTCTAAATCGAGGAAATGCTTGTTCAATATATTAGGGCTTGTCTGCCTAAGAAAATTAATCTAGGACAAAATGAGGTGTGAATTTTGAAGTGATTGAAGAAATCCTGATTTAGTTCAGTATGTGGAGGCTTTGTTCCAAGTTAGTGTAATCCACTTTGAGGTTCAAAACAGCTGCATGCTCTGAACCTAGAACGTTGGCAAGAGGAGTTAATATAGAGCAAGCTTTGTGTCAGTGACTTTGTGTAGTGTTTTATTGTGATGCAGTGAAAGGGGATTGATTTCAGGCAGCTCATCGTTAAGGCAGCCCTCGGATCTGATCCCTCTGCTGAACTGTGGCAACAATGTCCAGGAGGAAAAAGAACTGAAATGAATAGACTTGGAGAGAGCTGGCAGAGAGCTTTCTCAAGTCAGTGACACAGAGGAGAACTTGGTAGCCCCTCTGTGCATGCGTGGATGCTAACTAGGGCTGCTATGGCATCTTTCTAAAGCAAATTTATCCAGGTTTGGAGCACGGGGAAGAGTAGTTTGTCTTGTAAATGCTGATATTTGTAATGCTTCCTTGTTCTTATTAAATAAACCCACATGATGGAGGAACAGTTCTCAGTTACAATTTTAACCGTTTTATGTAAATAAAACTTCCTTGCCTGAAAATATTTGGCTCAGGATCAGAGTGAAGTCCCTCATAACCTGCATCCCTGTGGGCTGGTGCTTTCTTTTTGGTGATGAAAAATATATTACACTCTCCTGAAGTCAGAGTTCATCAATGCCATTTCCTTTGTAGTCTTTGCTGGTCACATGGTCCTTTTTGTTTTAAATTAATAAAATCCTAAATCTGCATTCAAGAATAACAGTTAACAGACTCTTTCAACAGAAATTCAACCTTAAATTGTTTCCATATGGGATCTTTACTTAAAGCTCTGGCAAACTGTGGCCACGCTTTTGTTGTGTTTTGTTTTTACCAAGGTCCAACTTCTGGGTTTGTCGTTCCCCCAGATTTTAGAGTGAAGAGGTTCTTGCTGCCAGACATAACAAGCATGAGGGGCCATTGTTTAAAGAAACAAAAACTTAAACTATCCATCCAGGAAGGAAAAGCATGTAGGAATATTAACCCCTGTCTGCCAACTTGTCTCAAGAGACAGGCATTTGACCCAGAACATGTTAAAACTGGAGCATTAGTGTTGAATTAGTGACATTCTGAAGGAATGCTGAATGTACCTATGAGAATAAATTTACAATTCAAGGGAGCGCAGAATGCCAACCTTTGAGTTCAAAAATCCCATTGGACCTGAAGGTCATCTTCTGAACTCTTTTCTTTGTCACTTGCCTATATGAGATAATCAGCATCACGCACTGTTGCAGAGTTGTCTGCACCAACTGATTTATTTTGTACCTTGTTCCAGGAGTGTTCTGTAGAGAAATGAAGTTTATGGTTTGGCTTTTAACAAACCCTATTGTGAACCAGTGTCTTATCAAAGAGATTGCAATATAAAGAAACTATGATTAACTGAGCCGGGACTTTCCTCATTTCTTAGGCTAGCAGATGTTTGATCTCTGGTAAACTTCATACTATTTGCATTCAGGTCAAAACGGTGAAAGGTTTTGTTAGCTCACTAGCAGTGTTCTGGGCCATCAGTTGCCTGGGTGTTGCCTTTGTGACAACTTCAGTCAGTGGGACTTGCTTTCTAGGTAGAAAATGCTTGGGATCCTACCCAGAATAACTTTTTTTTCATTCCTTGGATTGGCTGGCAAAAATCTCAAATGCAGTGTTGTTTATGATACAGAGTTTGCATCTCTAGTTGTGTATGGACAGTACAAATTAACCAAATGTAGATAGAACAAATGCATCAATAGAACTTGTTAGCACAATATTGCAGTTTGCCTTTCGCTATCTTGCAGTTTAAAAAAATACAGTTGGTCAGAGAAGGTATACTAGCACACATGTTGTTTTCACACTGAAGCATACATAAAGAGGTGTCAAACCTCCACATTTTTTTCTGCTTCAGCTTTATTACCTCCAGGAAGGGAGAAACATTTTTCTCTGTTTTTCTGTCTATGAATGGTCATGGCTTTTTTTGGGATGACTGTGAAATTTGAGTTAGTATTGCTGGATATTATGAAGCCTTAGGAGTGGAGTAGTTAAGTGGGTGCAGAGTCACTCTCGGTTAAGTGACCCATACTCCTCACTTGGTCTCAAGACTTCTGAAACCTAAAATCAAAACCAAGTCCTATACACCTCTGAAGCTACAGACTTCTAGCACAATAAAATCTCACTTAAGTAAAATGACTGTCAGAGTAGTCTGCAGGCATGCAAAAAGGAAGATGCACTGATAACTTGCTTCCATCTGTCCCATCTGCTGATCTACTGTGGTCTCTTTCTCAGGCTTTAAAAGAAATCAATGAAGTTGGGGACCTTTTGCAACTGAAATATTCCCGTCACCGTTTGGTACCTATCTTGGACCGGCCGTTTGACGAGACAACATATGAAGAAACAGAAGACTGAGCTCCCTCCATGTGCCTTGGTGGGAGGGACATATCCCATGGGACACTCCGTGGCATGCAGGCCACAGCGTCCATGAACAACACACTTATGACTGCTTAGCATAAAAGACATTTCCTCACAATACTGAAGTGGCCACATCAGCTCTAAATGGCATTTTGTAAATAGGGAAAGGAGAAAAAAAAATATTTGATTCCTGTGTCTTTGGGGTCTGGCCCTAGAGGTGCTTGGCTTTATTTTTTCTTTTGCTTTTTTATTTATTCGTCTCAATGAGTTCACAGCCACCCGAGTTGGCTGTGGCTGATCAGCTCAGACTTTGTATGCACCATTAGCCTCCCAAATGCTGGCTGAGATGTTGTAAGCATGTGTGATGCTGGCATGGCAGCATTTCCAGTGTCACTGCTAGGTGTCTGACCTTCCCAGTAAGGAGTGAGCTGACCTGTCTGGTTTTGGAGACTTCCTAGAGAAACTGTTGATTGCTAACTTTGACATATTTAACAAGATGGATAATCGACCAAAGTGGGGTTTGGGTTTTTTTGTTGTTGTTTTGCAGTTACTTGTGTTTAAAACTTGAATTTAGCCTTTTTAAAATAAATGTGTTGTTGACATGTCACTGACAGGACCATTGTTCCCAAACATTATTTAGTTTTGTAAGCCACAAGCAGAAGGACTTCTGGGACTTTAGCCTCTTTTCCTTCCCAGTATGGATACCAGATTGTCTCCTGGTTTTGACACTAATTGTCCTCTTCATATAGGGTAAGTGATGGAGTGGGGTTTTGTTATTTTTTTTTAAATGGGCTGTGTTTTGTCTTCCCTCTGACATATTTCTGTTTTTTTTTAAAAAAAAAAAAGAAAAAGGTGGGTTTAGTGTGTGTTGCTTTCTCATCTTCAGGTTAATTTCTCTTTCTGTAGAATTACCCTAAACCCATGAACAAGTCACTGCTAAGTTCTAGAAGGGTGCTCTTGGGATTAAGTAAACCATAGCAAGCCTTGTGCCTCTCGTTAAGACCAGAACCCCTCAATAAGCAGGCCTATACAATGGATGACTGTTAGGAGAACCACTTATTTCATGCAGATCTGTGAAAGACCGATTGCAACCCTTTGCCACGTTAATTCACTGTTTCTTGTCATATATGAGGTGTTCTTTATTTGCCTTGTTGTGCAAGGCCTTTATGCAAAGAGCATAGACAGCTTGGATCTTGTATCATACACTACATTTCAGCTAGCCAACAAAATCTCACTTGGCAGCTGCGTGCCTGTGTAGGCCGTCCCTGAAGAGAGAATGTCCTCACAACTGCATTTAGTTTGACATCTTTATTCTTTAGTGTTTCTGTTACTGTGAGATCAAATTAATGTTCACTGAGCCAGTTGCTGTTTGGCATCTTTATTGTGTGCAAGTTCCACACTGTCTTACTCTGATCAAAGTTTAAAGTAGGTGCATTTGCTCTAGCACACTTTAGAGGTGGTCTGCTGCTTAGTCATTGCATCTTGAATTCTTTCAGTGAACAGAATGGATCACTGAAGAGGTACCAAAAATGTTATAACAGGAGTCAGTTGCAGTATAGTTTGTTTCTGTATTTTATGCCTTGGACATGTAGGGTTTCTGCAAAGATAGTAAAGCTTTAACATCGTGTCAGTTGGGCTGGAACAGCTCTTCAGTTTGGGTTAGCATGATGCTTTTTGCAGGTGACTGGAGTTTTTTTAAACAGATTCTTCATCCTTATGCTAAAGCAGAGTGCAGCTTATAGCTATTTGCCTGGTGCTGCAAAAAAATTAATGATTTTTTTTAAAGTTCTTTTATGTTCACTCTGCAGCTAACAGAGAAAGAGTACTTTGGTCATTAGAACCAAACAGTTCCACAAATACATCTGGTGGTTTAAAGCAGAATTGGCTTCTATTTTATAGAATATCCATCTTCATGTGTTTATAGATCTTGTTCCATTTTAATGTAATGGAAATTCAAAACACAGATTCAGTTTTTTCACCATTGCATTCCAGAAATGTCAGTAGATGAGAACAACTAAAATTGACTGTTTCAAAATAGGTCCAGATAACTGTTTCTGTCTTAGTCCACTAATGTTGATTTGCTTGTCTCTGGCAGCAAAGTGTGTGCACAGTCCAAGTCTGTAATCTGTATGTGCAACTTTGATAGCTATGGAATAGTCTCACTCGTTCAGCCAGAGAGTGAGTAAACTGCAATTTACATGAGCTTACTTTCTCTCCTATCTTCTGCCCAGGACTAGCTCTAACATTCCAGCAGATGACCTGCTTTCTGACTTCAAGAAGCTTTACCTCAAAGAATTACTGGGGTTTTTCTTTCTAAATTGTAGTAGGGAACAAGAGGAGGTTAGTGCAGGAAGCCCTGACTCCAGCCCCGGTCCTGACTGTAGAACAGTTTAAGGTTGCACAAAACTGGCCGATTTGAAGGCATAAGCATGGGTCAGCAGGGAGCTGTTTAGAGCATTCCCAGATGTACAGCGTGCTTGTGTCTGCTGTGTAGTCAAGTCAGTTTGAAAACTGTGATGTATTAAGTTAGAAGTGGGTTATCGTAGATTCTACCAGTCTAGAGTCTTAATCTTGTCTCTGGGATTCAGTTTTAGGGAAGGTTGTCTTTAAGGGAGAAAAAGATCTGGATAAATGTCAGTAATTCATACAACTCCTGTATAACACTTCTGAAATTGTCAGTGTTTTAAAATTACTGGTCCCCATTGGGATTCCAGTTGCATTTGTTGAGGAAATTGTGTTCATGCTAAACTGCCATTTAGTATCTTTCTGCTATGTCACAGTGTTTGCATATGACTTTGAATTCTGAGTTGCAAAGACATTTCAGAAACCATTCAGGCAGTTAGTAGCATTTGCAAACTGCTTGGTTACATTTCAGCCCTGCCATATCCTTGTTGCGAAAGAACTCCCACCACCACCACTCCTCAGGAGGTTTTTTTATTCAAGGGAACCTGTTTTGCCAAAGTCTAGTACCCGTTGAAACAGCTTCTGAAAAAGAAGGAAGTTACAAGTCCAAGATTTCACACTTTAAAATCAGTAATTCACTGAGGGTGAAAGCCAGGAAAATCTTTTCACATCTACTAAAAAACTCAGCTCCCACAACCAAAGCAGAAGACCACTACTGGTTGTATGTATGCTGCCACGGTATGTGTAGGATGGACTGCTGCTTTGATATTTATGTACTGACCAGAAATCTGTCTCCTTTTTGTCCTGGCAGTAGAAGTGAATGAAAGAACCAATCTTGAGAGATCACAAAGGAAGAAAAGCTGCTTAAGAAATAGACTTCAGTCCCTGCCAACTTTTCAGAGACATTCTAATTGAAAATGATTCCTGGTATTTCTTAAGAGATGCAAAATTGAAAAGAAAATGAAGGCTGCTTTTGAACAAAGGATTTTGCCCTGTACTGTACATTGGCTAAATTTACTCATAAATATACAACAGTTACCTTCCCAGTACCTCTCTGAAGAACTTAGCAAGCAAGATTTTGCTTCTGTTGAGTGAAGAGTTTAGCACCATTATAGTTTTCAAGGTCGATGGCCATATTCTTTTAAGAAAATTGCAAAGCTCCTATTACTGAGCATCAGCAAAGAGTGAGAGGTTTGCTTCTTGTTAGAAACTGGCCTTCTCAAGTAGACCTTTGTCTTAAGGAGCCTGATTCATAATTTTTCTTTAGTTCTTTGGTGGAGAAGAAATCACCGTTTCTTGTGTCAAAATATTCAGGGCTTTCTTTTTGTTTTTTACACAAGACAAACTTTTGTATAGTATCTGTGTATATGGTACATTTAACTCTTTGTTTAGTTTCTGTATTTTTTCCCTTCTAAGTAGCATCCTCTGCTTCTTGGGTTACTGGTGTTGCACATTTCTGCTTTAGGCAAAGACTCAGAAGTGAGCTGACCGAACATCTTACCGTGATGAAGTTGTTCAGTGAAGGAGTTGTATCATCCATCCTCCTCTTGCTCTTTAAGAGTGCAGAAGTGGTACCCACTGTCAGAGCTGCACCTTCACACAGACCAGGAAAGGGAAGTGTGCCTGTGAGATCAGTGACCCAGCCCTGTGCTGTGTGGATGAAGGACCGATACAGCAGAGATGGGGAAAAGAGGCAGTCAGTCCTCGCTTATTCTCAGCTGGACAGGGATTTTTCATGTGTACTTGAACAAGCATTTGCCACTTTCAATGCCCAAAGGCACACTCTAAAACTTTTCCATACCAAGTAAATACTTCCTCTCCTTCTACCCAAATTTTAACTTCTTTACCTTTGAAAAGTATTTGGCTTACAGCTGTTTGCTCATCCAGAAACAGTGTTATCTGTTCAGGTAGATCATAGGAAAGGTTGGAGGAAAACCATGAGCATGAGCTCTCCATTTCATCTAAGAGAACACCTTGCAGCATTGGATCTGGAGCGCTATGCATGAGCTGCCTTGCTGCATCACAGAGAAGGAAACTTGTGGACATTTATCCCAATATACAGCGCTCAGTCAAAATTTATACAGCTTATATGTACAGTTTATATAGATTATGTTTACAGTTTATACTCGGCCTGTGAAGGTGTCAGGCATGCTGGGATCTGTGGGCGGCACCTTCTGCACAGAGATCTGAGGTACCTGTGGTCTGTTCTAACAGTAGGGAAGCACTGAGCTGTCTGGGAATGCCTGGTATGACCCCTCAGCAGGTGCATCGCTGGCTTTGGCGCTGGACCTGGCACCCAAGTGGGGAAAGCGTAAGTCATTTGACCTGCGTAACTTGAGCATGGCTTTAAAAGAAAGAAGAAAAAAACCCAACAAAAGAAACCCACTCAGATGCCATTGTGATGGCTTGTATTCCTGTAAACATCCCCAGCCTTGCAATTGTTCACCTGTTCAAGGACTGGACTGAAGCTAGAGCACAACCATGAAGTGTTTGTGTGAATTATTGTGCTTTATCTTTCACTAAAAAGAGAAATGTTTGGTGCAGACATGGAACTGTTGTGTTTACATCCCCAAAAGGGTCTGGGTGAAGGAGATGACAACAGTGGTGTGTGTTGGAGGCCTTAAACTGTGACTCTTGGTATGAAGAATTGAAATTAAAACTGACCTTGAAGAATGCAGTGGATTTTAACCCATAGAAGAATACTCTGTGCTCTTAGTTAAGCAGTATGTACTGCTGTTTTTTTGAGAGGGAGGGAGAGGTTTAACTCAATTTGTGTTTGACTCTGGCTAGCAGCTGTTTATGGAGCAGAAGAGGTGTCTGTATTTGAAAGCCAAAAATAGTGCAGTTCTCTGCACCTATGTTCCTATGTAGGAAGCATCAGTAACATGTTCCAGGGCTGCTGAAAGCAGGATAATTATTGAGAGGGTCAGGGATTTCAGAAGCAGTGGCAGCTAGCAAACTAATTTCCTCAACAGTAGGTGAACAGCTCTCACTTGAATATGCCAAGGGTTGGTGCTGTTCCAAAAATACCCATGGCGAAATGAAACGTACCAAACCATCTGACAGCTGTAAAGCTTTTTTTTTTTTTTTTTTCCAAATCTCATCCTGTTCAGACAGTATTTCTGCTACCCCCTAACGGTATATTAAGCTAAATGCATCTCCAGCCTTCCACTATTAACTTCAGACCAGTTTGAGAGAGATCAG